AAAAAAAAAATGATGAAAACCAAGCACAAGATGGACAGCAAAGGGCTGATCCCAGGTGCTTAGGCATAAATGTTCTGATTTTACAGCTTTAACACCAAGGAGGAGTGTTGGAGCTGTGGTGTTCAAGCTGCAAAAGTAGCAGCAAATGAAAATGAAAGCTGCACAAAATGGCAGCAAAGTGTAGAAAGCTAAGCTGCACAGAGGCTGCAGAGCTGCCAAGGGATCAAGCATGCTGCAGAGCTGCCAAAGGACACAACAATGTGACAGAAATGGCTGTTACATATTTCAAATTTCAAATGTTTTTTATTGATGTTTTTTAATGTAAAATAGTTGTTTGATTTTTGAATTTTAAATTGAGTTTGTATTCTCCTATAAATAGGAGTAAAAGGAATGAGAAAAACTGAGTTGAAGTGATACACTTCTCTCCATTTTAGATTATGCTCTGCTCTTCATCATCTTCCTACCGATTCTCTCCACTTTCTTTGATAAAAAATACCAACAGGAAAAAAATGAAATGCAAAATGGAGGCTGCAAATTAGTCAACAAAAGTGCAGCAATGTGATAGTGTTTCAATGTACTTTTTTATGTTAGTTTATGCATTGCAATCCTTGATCTAAATGTTAGGATGGATTTTATACGAAACATGTGACCATAAATCATAGAAAGTAGGTGAAAAATACTGTTTTTATATTGAATTTTTTGCTATAAATGGGTCGATATGTTAATGGAAATATGAGAGAGTTGGAGAACAATTTCTCCTCTCCCCCAATTGGGTGAATGTCTGCACCCTTCCAAGTTTATGTTCTATAAATGTTCTAAGTTCTACTCTTCTCCTACTCTCCTCCAAGTCCTCTCTCAACCCCTTTTTCTTACCTCAAAAATCTAACAGTATGTTTCTCTTGTGAGTGTGAAGAACAAAGATCTCATATCGAAGAAATATGAAAGGAAAGAGTGGCTTAAATATGTCAAGACCCATGTAAGTACTCAATTAGTCTTTTGGTTATAATGTGGTGTCAAAACATATGATGGGCCACTTAATGTCTCCTTGCTAGGGTATATGTTTCCCCAACAAAGAGCAAGAGTTTCACCATTTTGCGTAGTGCAGCAGCTCCTCTTATAATGGAGAACAAGATTAAGCATATAACAAACCTCAGAAACCCTTCCATTATTTTCTCATCAAAGAAGTATAGATTATGAATGAAGATTTTGGGATTATACGAACCTAAAGATGCTGAAAATAATTACACAAGAGTTGCACTTGTTTCTTGGTCAGCTCAGTTATTTCCACGAGCAGGACCAATTCTAGTGAAAACTACCAAAAATTGATCAGTCTAATGGCAGTTTGTGATCATTTAAATGGTGGGGTCCTAGATTTTTATTTGTATACCTAAAATCAATCAAACCCTTTATCCATTTCTATACTTTTTTTTTATGAGAAATAGAGAAATATATTAAGTAATAAGAAATTACAATAGAATCTTCGTCTCATAGCATATAACCAAAATCAAAATAGCTTAAAGATAAAATCAGAAGCATAACCTACAGTACTAGTAACAGACTTAAACTATACTTATGATGGATATAGACAATTAAGCAAAGAGAGCCATCTGCAACTAGGGATTGAATTTATAGTTGTTGTATGGATTAAATAGAGCTACTAATATAGAAAGGGGAGTCAGTATGAGCACTGAGAACTACTAGACATCCTTATCTATTTAACTAGCTTCTTAGGGAGAGCAAGGGATTTCGGCAATAAACAGTCCCCAACCCACAAGTTGCCGCCCTACTTGTTCTTAAAGAAGAACAACTAAGAGGGGTGTGAGCCTTCTCCTTAGAAGCAAGATCCCCAGCCGCCTCCATATACTGCCAATCATGTTCACATCTTTGCCGATCCTCTTCATACCCATGCTCTCAACACTCATTAAGGGAACTAGAGCCCCTTTGTTGGCTTGAAAATCAAGCTTCCCACACAGATCATAGCCGGCTTTACCAACAGCATCCATTTCCTTTGGCAATCAGCTAGCTGATCGAGAACTGGTGTGAACCAAATTTGTCGAATTCAATCCCTGCCAAGATCCCATCCAAGGAGATGCACCAAAGTGAGATTCTTGCCCGTTAAATAGGAGAAACCCACTCCACCAGCAATATCAATTCCAATCGCAGCCTTTGAAAATCAACAGATGTAAACCCTATAAAACCCAAAAAGTCACTGCCTTGTGGTCCCTTGGGTTGGAGTTTCCAAAGCAAGACAACGACAAGATGAAGGAGGAAGGGAGGGGTAAGAAAAAAGGGAGGGATGAAGGAACTTTTCTGTTGGAGAGAAACACTAGGGAGAAAACGTACCGCCACTGCTCTTAACCCAAGGAGCAGTGCACGGGAGAAATTGAAACCAATGCATAAGTTAATAATATATCAATTCTATACGTTTTATAACTTCTAAATTATGGATTTCTTGGCACCATAAATGATGTCATGGTCTAATACAATGTAGTGTAGGAGAACAAAAAATCAAAGAGAACCTTCAACAACTATGATGGTCTTAATCGGGTCAGAGTGCAAATGTAGCCAGGATACTTAATTGTGATAAACATAACTAGTTCCTCACTGAATGGAATATCATTTTCTTGGATGCCAACCATGTGTTGACTTGACATTAACAGTACTTCTTCCATCATTCAAGGAAGTTCCTTGTAAGAGTAGGTCTAGTATGGTCCTACTTAAACAGCTCTATGTTAAGATGAAGAGAAGCGTTTCTGCATTTCCTATCGTGCCTCTAACAACGTAATGGTGACTTCATTTGTTTCTAATGATTCATGGTGCAAATTTCTTTCAATGAAAAAGCCAGGCTGCTTTGGTTGAGGCAAGGAATTTTCACCGCCCAGCATAAGCAGCATAGATGACATGTTTGGCCTATCTTCCGGTCTTTGTTGCACGCATAACAAAGCCACATGAATGCATCGCAACACTTCAGATATAAAGTGTTTGTCAACTAATGAATTGTCAATCAGCTCCAAGGTCCTCTCTTCCATCCACAATCTCCATGTCTGAAAAATCATTACCATAAAAAGATAAATTTGCACAGAATAGTGAATTAGTATGCTATAATTCTAGTCTTACTCTTACATGTCCAAGAAGATTATGGTCATGATCTGGGTGGGAAAATCCCCTGTTTCTATTCCCACTTATTATCTCCAAGACCAAAACTCCAAAGCTAAAGATGTCAGATTTTATGGAGAAATGTCCATCCAAAGCATACTCAGGTGACATGTAACCACTGAAAAATAACATCAAAAGAGATCTTTAAACAAAAAAGAATAAGGGTATCAAGAGGGTTTAGGCTTAGGTACTGCTTACATACTATGTTCCAACTACTCTTCTAGTCTTTGCCTCTGTCTGATTCCCATCAAACATCCTAGCCAAACCAAAGTCCGAAATTTTTGGGTTCATATTGTTATCTAGTAGAATATTGCTTGCTTTGAGATCTCTATGGATAATTCTCAGTCGTGAGTCTTGATGTAGGTAAAGAAGTCCTCGAGCAATTCCATCAATAATGTTCATCCTCCTAGGCCAATCAAGCAATTTGCTCCTTGTTTGATCTGCAATTACCAAGTAATTTAGCTACATAATCTGATGAATCCTGAAAGAAAAAGATACGATGTTCTGGGATTAGTGAGTTCAGACCAAAAATGAAATGATCCAAACTTTTGTTTGGCATGTACTCATAGATTAACATTCTTTCATCTCCCTCATTGCAGTAACCGAAGAGCTTTACTAGATTCCGGTGCTGGAGTTTTGCAATCAATGTAACTTCATTCTTGAACTCCTCTAGTCCTTGCCCAGATTCCTTTGATAGTCTCTTCACTGCTATGTCTTGCCCGTCTGTCAATGTACCCTATACAATGCCCAAAATGTTCAGTATGGAAATTAAGATCCAATGTAGAACATAATTATTTGATACCTTATAGACAGAACCAAAGCCTCCTCTTCCGAGTTTGTTATCACTTGAGAAGTTGTTCGTGGCATTAGCTATGATAGAAAAATCAAAGACGGGCAACTCCACATCTTCCTTACCGTCTTGGTCCACAACAAACAGATTTTTTGTTCAGATTTCTTATGAAAAATTCTGTGTAATTGTATATGCGGGTATTACTGGTAGCAATTAAGTTTGTTTACCTTGTTTTCTAAGCTTCTTTTTCCGTATGTATAACACAAATATGAGTACCAGCATTCCTGTGGCTATAATGGCAGACATAGCTACTAGTCTCGCTCTCATCTTCTTACTCTTGCTTTTTCCTTGAACATAATCTGAAAGTATGGAAGAAGATTCAAGGAAAAATATATCTGTTTTAGCGGGTTTTAATACAAATCCTAATTCTGTACATTACATTCTATACTTAGCTTCATTCATTACAAAAGATTCAAAACTCGGAAAAGTTACCTGGATCAGAAGTTGCTATTCGGATATAGAGATCTTGACCACCCTCACTGTATTCTACCATGTCAGCTAAATCACCAAGCCAGAGCAAGCACCCACTTCCATCTCCGATATCCAAACTAGCATAGGCTGTACACGAGCAATTTCTCAAACACATTTCTTCACATTCCTTGAGGCCCATGCTCCTGTTAAACCAAGAACTTGCAGTGTCAGGCAATTTCACTCCTGTCTTCTTCAGAAACCCATCTGCATCACCGTCACAGTGCAGTGGAGTCCTTCGAGTACATCCACCAGACCAATCTATTGAGTTCCCATCTTTAGGTGCACCTGATCCAGGCACAAACCCTCCCAAGCATGCACATGGAGAAGGCCTAAGGGGATTGCAGCTTGAATATAATCCGCAGAAGGCATAATTCGAGCACTGATCCGCCTGTGCAGTGGAGAAAGTCTCCCAATCAAGTTTCCTTTCATTCCAAACATACCTCTGTATAACTCCAGATGGTTGCATTTCATACCTTGAAAAAATAGAACTGTTCCGCATCTCATATTTGTAATACACCTCCTTGTCACTGAAGAAGAATTCATAGGAATACAACGGATTAGGCTTAGTAATAGGCTTCCCAGTAAAATATAGTCCATTCCAGGATCCCCCTCGGAATAAAACTTCAGCTCCCTTCGTCTGAACTAACTGTGGCAACCCCCGAATATCCATCCTTAAATCGTACTGGCCCTGAGCAGGATCCTCTGGACTTCTCCAAGATGATACAAACATATCAAACCCAGTTAGCAAATTCCTGCCAATCTTCATTTTGGGTAAAAAGTTATTGCAAGGATAATCAAAACCCTGCCATAGAAAGTTCTCAGTATTGTCATCATTTCTATCTTTCACCACAAGGTTTCCTGAGTCCAAAAGCTGAGCAACTGGATCTTGTGCAGCCCTGGATACATTAGAAGACCAAACAAGGCCTTCTGTGCTGTTCTGAAGAGATAGAATTCCCTGGAAATTGATACTCAAAACTCCTGAAGTATCAGAAACCGGGGTTTCCCTGTTGGCTACCCAAACAACAGTTCTTGTTGACACTTTCTTGTACCATATTCCTAGATACCGGTTTTTCGAATTGCCTGGACTGAAAAATCCCAGCTCAAAGCTTCCACCAGCTGACACCAGAGTTTCCCCATCTTTAACGGACTGTCCAGGAGTGATAGTGTCAGGTACGGAGGTTGAGGTTCTGGTAGTTATGAAGAAAAAAAGTGAAAACCCTAGAAATCCTGCATAGATACCTTCCATTGACCTCCCCATTCAAGGACAGAAAACAAGTTCCTGTAACCCGTAAACCTTTTGATGAAGAAAATGCATTTCCCATTATTGTCGGTAGAAGGTGCAATTCAGCCCCTCCACTTAACTTGTTGTGGTATATCAGCTCCTCTACTACTTGAACTCCGCAAATCACCCCTTCTGTTATCTATGACGTTATCTTTCTGCCCGTCTCTTTGATGCCCATTGACAAAGGGTGGACTATGCGATGATATATACAAACTTGGACAAAAACCCAGCTGACTTGGATAAAAAATACCACCTGATATTGGTTAAAAAACTAAGATAGTGTGTTTTTATCGACGTGGTATCCCTTCCCAACCTCTAACCAGTTCACTACACTAAATCTGTATCATCTCCGATCTTCTTCTTCTTCCTTTCTTCTCCCTCATTTCCTTTCCTTTTTTTTTTTTCTCTTTTCAAATTCTTTAGCTTTCTTCATATATATTTTTTTGTTAAAAAAAAAACATATCTGGATTCTTGAGTTTCCCCATCTGGTTGGGCACATTAGGGGATTGGTGATCGCAACACCGCCATGGTGATTGCGTAGGCGATACAACCACCACTTCGGCGATGGGCATAATTTGGCTCTCTTCATTCTTCTATTTCTTCCCACGTTGTTTTTCCTTCTAATTTTATTTGTGATGCTTTGAATCGGTCTTGCTATTTCTCAATTCTGCTTGATGTTTGAGTGGTTCTGTTGCCATTTCTCAATTTTTATTTTGATTTCTATTTCACCGGTGAGATTGTTTTAATATTTGGCTATTTTTGGGTAAAACATATCTGGGTCTGCTTTGAATGATTTTGTGTATTAACAGAAGAAGGAAGAGAAATAGCTTTTGTCATCATTTGGTAGATATCCATATTCAAACATCGTTGGGCTGCTTTATCAGAATGAGTATTTTGTTTCCAAGCCTTTACATTTTGTTGTGATGATGATTTGGAATTTGAACATGTGTTCATTTTTCTATGATGATTGCTCTTGGTATTAATTAACTGTGATTGTTCTTGGTATGCAAATTTCGTCAAATCCTTGCTCTGTGTATTCAAAGCTTGGAAAGTGTTTGCGTTTTATCTTTTAGGAAAGTGATTTCTTTCTGTTTCATTTCACTTATGTGAGAAAAAGTTTTGGTTCATGAATTTTAGTTCACCGGTGGGTTTTCATTGAATCTTGGACACAGTCAAAATGAGATGTTTTTCTATGATTTTGTCTTAGTGCAGAATATATGATTCTGGAAGTGGAGTGGGTTAAAATTTTGTTGCTTAATTCTTGTTTGGTTACTAATAAAGTGAAAGAAAATTGAGTAGGATTGCACTATTTTAGATCCGTTACTTTTATTGTTTCTTTGAGGTGTTTGGTGGTCAAAGCCATAGCCAAGATGGTGAAGGTGGTTCGGCGTCCACCGCCACCAACCTCTAGCCTATCGACGGAGCAATAGTTTCTCGGATGATGGGTTTCTAGTTTTCATTGTTCTCTTATATAGTTTAATATTAAATATTTATTCATGTGGGAAAAGGAAAAAATAATGCCAGGTGGTTTTTTAGTCCAAGTCAACGCCATGTCATTGCCCAATCATCCTTTGTTAATTGGGTAATAGAGAGACAGAAAGATGGTGTTTCCTGACGTCATAGTTGACAGAAGGGGTGCTTTGCCGAGTTCAAGTAGTAGAGGGGCTGATTTGCACTGTTTTTAAGTGGAGGGGCTGACATGCCACAACAAGTTAAGTAGAGGGGCTGAATTGCACCTTCTGCCCATTATTATCACAAGCTAGGCTGAAAATGTTTATAAAATGAAACTATAATGAATAGCAAATGAAATGTAAATGCTGACGCAAATGTAAATTATTATTATTCGTATATTATAAGAAAAATATCATCTACAAATACCTACCTAAAATTAATTAACTATTAATAAATCTTCATTTATAAGGTA